GTATGTGGGAAGTTGGCAACCCCCAAACAAAGGTTCCACAAACCACAAACTACAAACGACATACTACTCTGCACTTGGCAAGAAAAACGGTCCACGGTAGCGGCTTTAAAAGACGGGTTTTGCGGTTTTTTGGCGCAGTAAGACGTGCACACGAAGACGTAAAGCTGATAGATTTGTCGTAAATTTCAATCACATTTTTCGAGGGACAAGCTGTGCTGTGATTCGTCAATATAAAAAGACAAAATTTCGAGACGCGAGATAGTACAATAACGAAGAAGTATAACATCGATCAATTCGCCAACATTTCGCTTAGTTGCATTGAGAGTTTGCTTAAAATGGCCTGTTTAAACGACTTCATGTGTAGCAGTCTGCGCCATGGCAGCAAATCTAGCATAGTAGCTATGCACAAATACATTTTTCACACGGAAGGTGACCGAAATAATCGTCAACGACTTCGTGAATTTCAAGGCTTTGAATTCGACGAGCACTGCAAAGAATATGAGGACAAGAGAAAATACGATAGTGATGTGCTGAGCGACCTCGACTTAGTGATTATTTGTAACTCTATTCTATATTCGCACTCAGAGTTTAGCAGCCCAGTGGTCGTAGTGAAAAAACGCGATGGTTCACCACGACTATGCATTGATTTCAGGCGAATAAATAAGGTAATAGTTAAAGATCACTTTCCACTTCCCCTCATAGATGATAAGTTGGATCGTCTGCAAGACGCAACAATCTTCAGCACCATTGACTTAAAAAATGGATTTTTCCACGTACCTGTCGCGCCATCGAGCAGAAAATATACGTCGTTTGTAACAAAAAGTGGACAGTACCAATTTTGTAAAGTGCCCTTCGGTTTGTCGAATTCACCGGGAGTTTTTCAGAGACACGTTAATGCGATATTCAGAAATCTTTCACGTAGGGGCATTGCACTACCGTACATTGATGACGTTATTATCCCTGCAATAAATGAGGAGCAAGCTTTAGAAACTTTAACTGAGGTTTTTAACACCTGCCGCGACTATGGTTTACAAATAAATCTGGCAAAATGTCAATTCTTAAAGAAACAAGTCGAATTCCTAGGTTATATAATCGAAGATCATAAACTCCGTCCAGCACCCGGAAAAATAGAAGCTGTGCATAATTATAAACTACCAAAGACACATAAGCAGTTATTAAATTTTCTAGGCTTGGCTGGGTATTTTCGAAAATTTATCCCGAGTTATTCCATTACTGCCAAACCGTTGACAGACCTGACGAAGCGTAATAATAAATTTCACATTGGCGCAAAAGAAGAACAAGCGTTTAACTCTCTAAAGAAGGCACTAACCGAACCCAGTACTAGGCATATACAATCAAAAATACGAAACAGAATTGCATACGGACGCTTCGATAGACGGATACGGAGCAGTTCTACTACAAAAATCTCCAAAGGACGGCCAGCTACACCCGATCTACTACATGAGTAAGAAAAAAACGGAGGCTCAAACAAAATTTACAAGCTATGAACTCGAAATGCTCGCAGTAATAGAAGCGCTGCACAAATTCAGAGTGTATTTATTGGGCATTCGGTTCAAGCTCGTCACAGATTGTGATGCATTTACAAAAACACTAGAGAAGCGAAACTTGTGTACGCGTGTAGCACGATGGATTTTGCTCTTACAAGAGTTCGATTACGTAGTAGAACATCGTGCTGGGTCTCGCATGAGACACGTAGACGCACTCAGCCGCCATACAGTCATGATGATAAGGGACGATGACCTCATTATCAGAATTTGTCAAGCACAAATGCACGATGAGGCGCTAAAAGCTATTCGAGCCGTTCTGAATAGCAACTGTGAATACGATGGCTATTTCTTAAAATCAGATATTCTCCACAAGCTTGTTAATGATTCCGAGTTGGTCGTCGTACCAGAGAGTATGCATGAGCAAATCATAGGTCGCGCGCATTCCAGAGGACATTTCTCTGTGAAGAAAACAAAGGAGCTGATATTGAATGAATTTTTTGTACCACGTATCGACGAAAAAATCAAACGACACATCGCTTGTTGCGTTCCCTGTATTTTAAACAGCCGTAAGTCGGGTAAAAAGAAAGGACTACTCCATCCTTTGCAGAAGGAAGATTTACCTTTGCACATTCCGCATCGATTTTTTGGGGCCACTGGAATCAACCAGCAAGCAGTATAGGCATATTTTAACTGTAATAGACGCATTCACGAAGTTTTGTTGGCTATACCCCACAAAATCAACGACGACGAAAGAGGTTATAACCAAGTTACGCAACCAAAGTGTTTCCTGGGGAAACCCTTCCCACATAATCACCGATAGAGGCACGGCCTTTACCTCAACAGATTTTCAAGCTTACTGTAACGACGAAAACATCACGCTGGTTCAAATAACAACCGGATTGCCACGCGTGAATGAACAAGTGGAGAGATTAAACGCAATTGTCATCTCAGTATTGGCTAAACTCAGCAGTGGCGACCCTACGAAGTGGTACAAATTCGTAGATAAAGTTCAACAGGCAATTAATTCAACATTCACGAGAAGCATCAATACACGAAGATGAGAACAAAGAAAGATCATCAGATCCACGAGTTAATTCAACAAGAAATTACCTCTTCATTTATAAATACGCGTGAAGACCTTCGAAAGCAGGCAAAGTTGCAGATCCTAGAAGTCCAGCGGGAAAATAGGACAACGTACAACCGCAGACGCAAGCCAGCACATCAGTACAAAGTCGGCGATTTAATTGCTATTAAACGAACTCAATTTGGTAGCGGACTTAAACTGAAATCCAAATTTTTGGGAGCGTACCAAATAACCAAAGTAAAAGGTAATAACTCCTATGACGTTCGTAAATTCACCAATTCCGAGGGTCCGATTAATACATCAACTTGTGCCGAGTATATAAAGCCGTGGGTTCAAATCGACGACCAAGACGACGGAAGCATTCGGATCGAACGCTTAAAAGGATGGCCGAATGTGGGACGTTGGCAATCCCCAAACAAAGGTTCCACAAACCACAAACGACATACTACTCTGCAATTGGCAAGAAAAACGGTCCACGGTAGCGGCTTTAAAAGACGGGTTTTGCGGTTTTTTTGGCGCAGTAAGACGTGCACACGAAGACGTAAAGCTAATATATTTGTCGTAAATTTCAATCACATTTTTCGAGGGACAAGCTGTGCTCTTTTTTCTAATTAAATTAAATTCATTGTCAATCAAAACTATTTATCATTTACTCAAAAGGTTCTAAATAAACGTGAATTCATCTGAATTAAACCGCGTTCTATACCTTATTCTAATTGGATAACCGATTCACCACATGTATATATGTATGCTGTATGCATAACAAAATGCATAACCAAAACAAACGCGAAAAATATCTCCCATACAACGTCGTTGAAAATTATTCGCGAAAAGTTTATCGCGATAAGCTGTTGTGAGTGATCGCGAGTGGATTACTTGCATCGTTTTTTCTCATTTATGAGAGGCCGACATCGGCAATGCTCGGACTTCTCATATTCGAGTGAGAGGAAATTTCTTTGTTTTTTCGATCGCGAATGAAAAGCAGCGGATTTTTTTTTTGTCGATCGCATTCCGAATGTGAGAGATGAATAATTTGTTTGCATTTTTCACTCGTGATAAAAGAATGCAAAAATAATTGTGGAATATTCTTGATCGCGAACGTGAGAGAATGTGAGTGAGAACTTCCGAACCCTGGTAACCACGCCCCCTCCTCATATAACGGTATTTTCGAAAAATGCAAAAACTACGATATTTCAGTAAATATTGAATCCAAATTGTTGAAAATTAGTATGTGAAGTAGAATTTTGGTGCGAAATAATATGTATTTGTTAATTTTATTGGGGCTTATTAACATTTTTATTTAAATATTTTGTTTGAGCTTTGTACCACGATTTTGTTTATTAAGGAAAAATTGAAAAAAAAAAAAACAAAATTCTTAAGCGGTAGAAGTTATAGCAGCTATTTCGGAGATCACCACATCTCCTCATCAGACTTATTTTTTCTAGACTTAGCAGGGATCGAACCCGCGTCATCGATGTGCAAAGTCAGAAGCGCTAACCACTGAGCAATGCACACCCCGTAAGCTCTTGTTGCTAATTCATTCCCTTATTCAACGTACTACCATCTAGTGCAACTGATTTGCCGCTGTTTAAACTTGTCAGCGTGGTTGTTACTGTAAATTCTATACATTAATTTTACTTTTGCTTTATTGGGTGTATAGTTTCAGGTAGGTTCATCCTAAACTATGTATTTGTCAATTTTATTGTGACTTGTTATAATTTTTGTTTTAATATTTTTATTGAGCTTTGTACCACGATTTTTTTTTATTAGGGAAAAATTGAAAAAGCAACAAAGTCTAAGCGGTAGAAGTTATAGCTGCTATTACGGAGATCACCACTTCTCCTCAGACTTCTTTTTTCTAGACTTCAGCAGCGATCGAACCCGTGTCATCGATGTGCAAAGTCAGAAGCGCTAACCACTGAGCTATGCACACCCCGTAAGCTCTTGTTGCTAATTCATTCCCTTATTCAATGTACTACCATAAAGTGAAGCTGATTTGCCGCTGTTTAAACTGACAGCGTGGTTGCTATTGTAAATTCTATACATTAATTTTGCTTTTGCTTTATTGTATGTATAGTTTGAGGCAGGCTCATCCTAAACTATGTATTTGTCAATTTTATTGTGGCTTATTAACATTTTTATTTTAATATTTTTATTGAGCAAGATGCAAAAGCGGTTTGAACCGCTAAACCGAACCTATACAATTTTTCAACCAGTTCACGTCCCTTATTTGCATTACATTAATTTTTTAGCGGTTAAAGCCTCATCTTATCTTCTACATTCATCGAAAACATATGTTCAATGTTAATTTAATGTTCTTTTGCTTCTTTAAAATTTCCTAATTTGTATTAAAAGTAGAAAACAGTAAAACTTTGTTTTCAAACAAGAAAATTACATAATTTTTTTAGGGTGTTCGGAGGTGTGAGATTGCCCGCAGCTGGAAAATATGCAACGGGAATTATATATTGTGATGAAAAAACGAGTTCTGAAGTCGAAGTCGAATTCGCTCAACTAGCACTTGAATTAAACTTAAAAGTAATTGCGTGGCGAACGGTTCCAACAAATAAAGATGCTATTGGTGTGGTCGCACGGAAATCTGAACCACTTTCCCGTCAAGTTTTTATTGAATGTCCTTCAGATCTCGACCAAGAGTTTTTTGACCGTCAAATATATGTCTTACGTAAGCGCTCCAGTCATGAGTTAATTAAAGAAGGACGACGTTTTTACATTTGTTCATTATGCTCGAAGACGATAGTTTATAAAGGATTGTTCACATCTGACCAACTATGGGAGTATTATACTGATCTTAAAAATCCAGATTTCGAAACATATTTGGCTTTGGTACATACGCGTTTTTCAACAAATACTTTCCCGTCTTGGGAACGTGCACATCCATTACGGGTAATAGCGCACAATGGAGAAATAAATACCTTACGCGGAAATGTTAATTTGATGAAAGCCCGTGAGGGTGTTATGCAGAGTGAAATATTTGGAGATCAGTTAACAAAATTATATCCAGTTGTAGAACCAAACTTATCAGATTCGGGCTCATTCGATTGCGTTCTTGAGTTTCTTACAATGGCTAGTGACCGTTCATTGCCAGAAGCTGTTATGACTATGGTTCCCGAAGCGTGGCAAAATGATAAAACTATGCCGCAAGAAAAACGTGACTTCTATCAATGGGCGTCATGTGTAATGGAGCCCTGGGATGGACCGGCTTTAATTTCATTTACAGATGGACGTTATATTGGCGCAGTTTTGGACCGTAACGGATTGCGTCCATCTCGATTTTATGTGACACGTGAAAATATCCTTGTAATGGCTTCTGAAGTTGGCGTTTATGATATTGATGCATCGAAAATAGTATTAAAGAGCCGTTTGAAACCTGGCCGAATGCTTTTAGTGGACACTAAAGAGAAAAAATTCATTCAGGATGTGGAGATAAAAACTCACATAGCTAGATCCCGCCCGCATTCGGAGTGGTTACAACAGAAGGTAAATTTTATTATACACATATGTGCGTATGTATTTTAAGGAGTGATCCATCTAGACCTGTGTTTTTTAAATTGTAATTAAAAAACACAAAACAGAACTGGAAGTATGAATCTTTATTATTACCCGAAAGAACAATCTCTGGCTCTTACTTTTTAAAATCATTTTATTTAAATGTCAATATCGAGCGCTACCTCACCATGATAACGGACTTTTTGTTGCCCGAAATTGAAGCTCGTGATGTCGGCAATATTTGGTTATCGTGCGATATCCCTCTTGTTTTTTTTTGGGGTTATGTGAAGTCAAAAGGGTTCGCCGATAAGCCAGCCATATTTCAAAACTTGGAAGCCAACACTACTCGCATAGTTCGCGCAATTATGGAAAGAGTAAATGAAAATTGGACCTTCCGAATGGACCACCTACAGCGGCCAACATTTAAATAAAATTATACTTTAAAAATAAATGTCAGAGATTGTTCTTTTAGGTAATAGTAAAGATTCCGATGTCAAGTTTTATTTTAAGTGTTTTATTTAAAATTAAAAAACAAAGTTCTAGATGGATCACCCGATATACGTAATTTATAATTTCTTTATGATCTATTCAACCTCTTTGAAAATACTTTTCTGTAATGTGCAGTCAATCGAGCAATTAGCCACACTATCTCGATTGAGGTGCTGATTGGGCTCCATTTACCATACAAAACTGCAGCGCTTAACTGCTCGACTAGTGTTTAATTGAATGATTTTTTTCATGCAACCCTGCTGGGAATGTTTATTTTTGACTTTGTAGTACATTTGTTTATTGAAGAAATAGTCGCTGTTTGTTTTTGGTCCTCTTTTACAGCTTATATTCCACCAGGAATAGAAATTTGAATTTTCAAATTGTAGTACGGAATTTGCGGAAAAAGTTTACCTAAAAGTAGGTAAATGCTCCTAAAAAGTACATATGTTTTTTTGTATGTACATAAATATGTACGTATGTATATTAGGGTACCCATTTTTTTTTTTGAAATTTCAAGACCCTACCCCTAATTTCCTTCAGTTTTATGAGACATATTTTTATAGATTTTTAAAATTGATTTAGAGGTCGCGACGTGTCACGTTAGGTCAGAAAGAACGGTTTTGTAGATTTATAAGTTTTTGGATGACTAGTTTTCATTCATCTTTAAAGATCGACCATTTTGTGGGAAGAGGAGGAGAGTCCTTTAACCTTCATCCGGATTTGGTGTCAATTTGACACTGTTTTTTATTTAATTTCGTTGTTACATAGATACATTTAAAAAAATATACTTGATATCTCGGCTTATTAGCTAAATCATATACAAGTTTTGTATTTTTTTTTCATTTATGACATTTTAAAAAGTCCCGTTACTTCTGTACAAAACGTTTTCTTAATTCGGATTTGAAGTATCAAATTGACACTGTATGGGAAATACTTATCTATTCTTGATTATCTCTTCTTCTATGTTATTTTTTAACCGACTTCCAAAAAAGGAGGAGGTTATCAGTTCGTCGGAATATTTTTTTTTAATTTTTTATTTTTTTTTATGTATGTTACCGCATAACTTTGGACCACGTCAACCGATTTCGATAATTCTTTTTGCATCGGAAAGGTAGTGTCAGAGGTGGTCCCATACTAATCTGGTTGAGATCCGATCAGTGGGTCATGAGATATATATATATATATATATATATATTATTTGGGAGTTGAACTCGGTTCTTTTTTGCTAAAAATTACTTGTTTTTTGTTTATTATTGGTTCAGTCTTAGCCAGTAATAATTAAAAAAAAAAATGGAAAGTTCTTGGTTTTATCAGTTTGAAACAGATAGCGATGATGCAGATTATACTTACGGTGACCATATTTATGAGCGCCGAATACGGGACAACAAATAATTTTGAAAATTTTTTCCACACTGTTTCCCTGAAACAGTATCCTTATAGTAACATCACAAATGCGTAGGATAATTTTCTCGAGATTTTTTCCACGTTAAATTTTAGTATAATAAATAATTAGTCGGTAAGGCTTACCACTAATTTTTGCCAAGTTTTTTTTTGTTTCCGGTGTTACGCATTTTTTTCATACAAAGTAAGTTAGTTGGTTGGTAGAAGCGTCGCCTGGGTATGTTCCCAGGGCCAATTAGTGCTGAAAGCACCATTTTCATACGCTTTCTCTGGGACCCCTGATTTTATCTGCTTTCATGATTCGTTGGGTTCGTCAAACCATTTGGTTTTTCCGATGAATCTATTTAGGTTAGTAATGGTGAATTTGGAAATTTTCCAAGATTTTGGATGGAAAAACTCCCGAGTGTGATCTGCCTTATTTGTGCCAATGCTGGGCACTCGCAAAGATAGTGAAGGACCTTTTCCTTACGTCCCACAAGATTGCAGCTACGGCACCGATGGTTATACGGAAGGCCCATTCTAGCTGCATGTTCACCAATGGGCCAATGTCCCGTTATCGTGGCTATTAATTTGACTATATTTTTCCTCGACCTCTTGAGAAGTTCTTCTGTCATTGGCTTGTATAGTGCGGCCATATGTACAGGTTTGAAGGTTGTTCCAACGTGTATCAGCCATTTGTGTGAATTGCAGATGCAGTTCCCTTTTGATGAGTCCGAGTGGACAATTTATAGTTTCTGCTTCAGATTCATCCAAAGATGCTCCGGCCTTAGCCAACTCGTCAGCCCTCTCATTTCCGTGTATGTTCCTATGGCCGGGAACCCAGATGAGAGTGATGTCTATTAAATCGGCCGCCGAGCTTAACGTACACCTACGCAGTTCCTCTCTAGTGCTTTACAGGCCATTTCGATGCCCAGTACTTCCGCTTGAAAGATGCTAGCAAAGTCAGGTAGTCGAAACGAGAGAGAGACATTCAGCGTTTCGGAGAACACCCCCGCACCCACACCGCAAGTCCATTTTGGATCCGTGAGTATAGATTTCAGTGGAATTCTCCTCGACTATCCTGCCCCTACTCCAATCCCGTCTTGAAGGAAACTTCACCTGAAAGCTTTTCCTGCTTTTCAGCAACAAAATTTCAAAATATCTTCGCAAGTTTGTGTAAATTGCGCTTGTTATATTAAAAACCCCTAAAAAGTAGCCTAAAAAAAATTCTCAAAAATCAGCGCGATTTTTAAGCGGTTTGAAACTTGCATTTTATTAGACTAAAATTGTATGGGCTATAAAACTCCATACCCAAAAATGTTCTATATACTAACTTTGTTGAATTTTTGAAACTGTGTTGTAAACGGTTTTGGTTAAAGTTTAGACGATATTTTTATATAACAAAAACGAAACAAACAATAGCTGAAAAAATATTACGAATATTAAAAAAAAAGCAACACGTGGTCATTTGTTTGAGTCACTGTCTGTATATAACCGAGCTATTAATGGGCAGACATACAAGTTCCCACTTCTACTTGACCTTTGACGTACATCAAAGAGAACATGGTCATTTTAATAACATTTTTTTTCTGTGCCTTAAATACCTGCATTGGTTTTTTTAGTATGATTTTTTTGGACCACGCTTAAAAAAAAATCGTGATTTGCTTATGATGTTACATATATTCGTTTCAATCGTTTAAAATGGGGAATTTGTTGTTAGCAAAAATTTCAAAAACAGTAAGGTTGTTTACGTGTCGGGAAATATTTTTTTTATAGGGATATACATTGGATCCTTGGCTAAAAACTTCTGTGGTAAAAATGTCCCTCTACATATCCCTTCTTTGCTATTTAATCCTATCAGTCCTATGTAACAAGATCGAAGGAGTCCAAAAAGTTTTTACCAAGTATGCATTATATAAACTGCGCTGGCCAAATGGTCTCCCTACCCAACAAAAAATCGGTAATCGCTTTTAGTGGTAACGTGTTCTAGAAGGCATAGCGTTATAATGCCTTCGAATTTTTTCGCTTGTTTTAGGCATTGCCGGTAATGCAAAGTAGAATGTCCTACAATATTTTATTTATTTCGCTTCTTTATTTCATTTCGGGGAATGCAAAGTAGAATGTCCTATAATATTTATTTTTTAATTCGCTTCTTTGCTTTATTTCGGACAATGCAAAGTAGAATGTCCTACAATATTTTCTTTTTATTTCGCTTCTTTGCTTAATTTCGGAGAATGCGAAGTAGAATGCTGCATCGTAGTCAGCTGAAAAATAGAACGAATATCCAAAAATTCTTTTTCTACCGTTACTTTCTGTAGAAATTTGTCTCGCATAAAAAACATGTTTTGCTTTGTTCTATTTGCAGCGAAGTTGAAGTTAGTCAGTGAAGCGAAGTACAAGAGTGAGGTAGCACAATTTAAGCTTAATTAAATATGCATGTATGCACATACCGATTTTTAAGAAAATCTATACATATGTATGTATAAAAACTGATTTATAAAAATTTTAATTATTTTTAATCTTTTAATACATATTCTGATTTCAATTTAATATATGTGACCTGGTCTACGAAAATGGAGCTTACGTGCGAAAACTAGTTTTCTGTGAAAAAGATATTAAAAGTAAGCAACTCGTTTCGTCAGTTTCTCATTATCTCGTTAATTGTTCTCCGCGCCGGACGTCCAGTAAGTGTTGTTGTTGGTCCAGTAAGTGTTGTTGTTGGTCGGAATATCATTATAGTTCATCGTGTAAGTTGCTAGTGTGGAACATTTAAAAAAGTAACACTGAAGAAGTGACGTTTACTGTTTCTGTTGATTATCGTCTTCGCATTTCGCATGAAATGAAACATGAGTGTTGATGAGGAGTTCAGTGCCGTATACGGACAATATTGTGGCTCCATTGCCGACAGATTTGCCATCGAAGAAACGGAAGGCAAAAACTAGTGAAGATGTTCTCAAACCAGACGAGGAACCAGGTCCATCTTCCTCAGGATCAACACGTAAAAAGATCTCAAGGAAAACGACAACAAAGAAAAATACATAAACTACTCAGCATTATTATTTTTGGCCCATAATACGTTTTTCTAGTGCATAATCATGTCTTTATAGCTTATAATTCAATGTATTTTGTTCATTACCAATAAATTATATTTTGTCGTATTTTTACTCTTCTTTCTCTACATTTTTAGTACACTTCTAAGCAAGTTAGGATTTTCTGCTTTTCACCACGTGAAAAAGCATCTCATCTTCCATCCGAATCAACCAAAAAGTGAAAATTTATTTTTTGACACCTAAGCCCCCTTTCCGTAGACCAGGTCACATATGTATATATAATATACTAGCAGAGCACCCGACGTCGTTCAGGGTAAACAAATCAAAATATAAAACAGTAATACAAATAAGTATTCAGTTCAGCATAAATTAGAGGAGAAAAGTGAGGCATCCTTATGAGCCATAGTTTTAGCTTTATCGTACTTCAACTAATAATGTATTGATCATCGCTTTCTGTACTAAAAATATTGTTCCATTATTAATATATGGTGGATTAAGGTAACGATAGAATTTTTGAATTGAAATTTGTCTACTATGGTACATTCCGTTTAGCTTCCTATTCGCTTAGCTGTTTTAGGGCCGGTTACTCAATGTCTGGTTAACACTAATCTCCATGCATACAACAGGGAGTCGGTAACGTCGATAACTATGTTTAACTGGAGATTAGTGTTAACCAAACATTTTTCCCTGTAGAATGCTTATTTAAGAAAAAGATTTATTCATTATACATGCACATGTGCAATAAAATGATTTAATCTTTCCATTTCAAGATGGTCTAAAGACTGTAAGGTTTAAAAAAACACAGTTTTAAATATCCGTGTTGTGGTATAGTTGAATACATATTTATCCCCCTTTTACAAACACATTTATATATACTTTATTCTAAACACCTCCCATACATAAGTCTGCACACCAAATTTCAGGTTGATGTGACTTATAGTTCGTAATTTATGGCTGGTTAAAAATTCCACGCCTATGGGATGTAACACGTCCCCTTTTATAAACCCATTAATATATATCTTACTATAAACACCTACCAAAAATATGTCTGCATACGAAATTTCAATTTCACGTGACTTATGATTTTAAAGTTATACCTAGCTGATAAAAACTTCCACGCCTATGGGATTTGCGATGCCTCCTTTTAAAAACTCACTTATATATATCTTTTTATAAGCGCCTACCATATCTATACCAGAATACCAAATTTCAAGCTCGTGGTGCTTATGGTTCCGAAGTTATAGCTGATAAAAAATTACACGCCTATGGGATGTGCCACGCCCCCTTTTACAAACTCATTTATTTACAGCCTACTATAAGCACCTACCGCAGCTGTGCCCGCATACCAAACTTTCAACTTTACGGGGCTTATGGCTCCGAAGTTATAGCTGATAAATATTCCACGCCTATGGGATGTGCCACGCCCTCTTTTGCAAACTCATTTGTATACATATGTCTTATTATATGCGCCCACCATGGATATGTCTGCATCCCAAAATAAAAGCTCATGTGACTTATGATTTCGAAGTTATAGCTGATAAAAAAATCCACGCGTACGGGATGTGCCACGCCCCCTTTTATAAACTCATTCATATACACCTTACTATAAACACCTACCGTAGCTGAGTCTGCGTACCAAATTTCAAGTTCATGAGGCTTATGGTTCCGAAGTTATAGCTGATAAAAATTCCACGTTTATGGGATGTGCCACGCCCAATTTTATAAACTCTTCATATACACCTTACTATAAGCACCTACCGTAGCTGTGCCTGCATACTAAATTTCAAGTTCATATGACTTATGATTTCGAAAATATAGCTGATAAAAAACGCTGCCTTTTACAAACTCGTTTATATATACCCTACTATAAGAACCTACCATTGATATGTCTGCATATCAAATTTCAAGTTCGTGGGACTTATGGTTCCGATGATATAGCTGATAAAAAATTCCACGCCTATGGGATGCGCCACGCCCCCTTCTACAAACTCATTGATATATACCCTCTTATATGCACCTACCATTTATATGTCTGTTTACCAAATTTCAAGGTCATGTGACTTATGGTTCCGAAGTTATGGCTGATTAAAAATTTCACGCCTATGGGAGGTGCCACGCCCCCTTGTAGGATCCCAATTTTTTCACCCTATTATACGCCCAGGAGTCATGGCAACAATCTGTCAAAATTTTGTTCGATTCTGTCCGTCCGTTTAGGCTGCAACGGGGCACATACATACATACATACTTCCACAAATATATAGTAGATAATATAGTATGTACTTATCTAGGCATTCTACATTAGTTTCTCTGTAAGGCATTCTTTGTTCGCTTCTCTGGATTGTGTTTATCCATGCGTTCTCCCTTCCTTTGAAGTTAATTCTGCTGGTAAGGGCTTACCGCCAATGACATGCCCATGCTAAAATAAGGCCTTCTTGTAGCGAAAGGGTAAGCGATTCCCATCGCCTAGCTCGTTTCCACTTTCGTTTCTGTGGTAATCGTGTTTTTTGCTGGGCAGTTACTTAGGCAGACGCAAATTGCCCGGCTTGCAAAGCCGCCAAGAAAGGAAAATCTATTTTTAAGTATTATTCGTGAATAATTTAATACACTTAAACATAAATTGTAATGAATTATCAAATTTGATCAACCTTCATACTAATCACCATGATTTGAGGCGTGTTCGTTTATTCGTAGACCAAGTCCCCAAAACAAACTATGCCTTCAACCAATGGTAAGATGCATTCGGTTCTGCAACAATTATACTAACCTATATTTTTTGTCACAATTTATATAACTTGAAGCAACAATTGTTTTCCATATTTAATTGAATATTCTTAATATGTTCTGTGTATAGTCTGTAGGATTCATCTGTAGACTGAGTAAATAAATAAATAAATTCAAAGAGTAAGCTCAGTCAATAGGGATTACTAGCAGAAATGTTCTGGCTATAAAGAGAATCGATGCTCAAATAATTAAAAGCTATAGCTGTGACCTTTAATTAGGGTTTTTGCTTTTGTTTTAAATAACAATATTCTGATCAGATTCGGCTGGCAGCCACGACTTCTAAAACAGAATTTTGTTAAAAATTTTCATGCCTGGAAAATAATAATTTATTTTCCATATCCACCTATGTATTTAGCTTGCTATGAGCACAAATTTTTCAAATCAGTCACAGAAGAAAGTGTTAAAAATTAATTAAAAAAACTAAAATCTAAAAACGATGATGACGTTACAGGTTCCCCAAATTCTGAAACAGCCAAAGGAATGAAAATGAAGAATTCTTTTTAAAAAGCTTTAGAAAAACCTGCCACATCTGGTTTGGCTTGTGAGCGGTGTTTAAAAACCGATCTCGCCATAATGCTAGATTCTTCAAACGAAGAAGAAAGTCAGGAGCATACATCCGACATTTTCAGCCCCGATGCAATTCTCATTACTTTTTATTAGATATAATGTTCCAATTTTTGAATTTAAGTTCTAAGTAAAATAAAGATTATTAAAAATTACTAACTTTTCCTTTTTTTATTTACCTAAATACGTTAGTTTACTTACCTAATTGTTTCTTAAGAATACTTGACATTCGCATCCGCACCCGCGGATATTAGCTGTTAGATATCCGCCTCCGCATTCGCATCCGCGGATGTCTAAAATTCCACATTCGCAACATCCCTAATTCGTACATACATATTTTTGTATGGATATTATGTTTGTATGGATATGGGCAAATCTAAAAAATGGGTACACTTTAAAAAAAAAATTTAAATTTTTAAATTTGTGAGCGCATTTATGTTTTATATATCATTTTATTCGTAATCTCTTAATAAATCGATTAATATAAGTGTAATTCATTTTCATCAAGTGTTTCAAAAGTTAGACGAGGAATAAGCATGAAATAGAAAACAAAAGAATAAGCTGGGTTGAAATTACGCTGCTCAAGTTGTGAACTTTGAGGAAAGATTTTGATAGTTGAACTCACTTAATTGGGATGTTCTAAATTCAATGGCATGCCCTGTTTTACCAGATTGGCTCCGGTTTTCGAGATAACGGTACTTGAAAATTTGATTAAATATTAACTATTTTATAAATAACTCCCTCAGTTTTGAAGTTATTTTACTAAAATTTTGCAAATAACAGTTTTTTAATATTACCTTAATTATTCCTTAAAATTATCGAAATAGGTTAACATTAACATATAGCTCCAATACAACTGATTACTCAGATATGTGTTTTTGCGCAATAACTCTAACTTCATATCTGAATAATAAATTGTATGCGTGCTGTATGTTAAATTGAACCTATAAAAACTTAAAACCTGTTTAATTGAAGGAGTTATAACGCAAAACAACGTCTCTGATCAATCAGTTGTATGGGAGCTATATGTTTTAGTGAACCGATTTCGGTGATTTTATGGAATAGTTAAGGTAATATTAAAAAAAGTTTCAAAGTACTGCTATCTCGAAAAATGGAGCCAATAGGGTAAAACTTAGGGAGCCATTCAATTCAGAAGGCACCAGTTAAGTAAGAGCAACTATCTGAACATTTGTCGAGAAAAAGTTGCTTTGATACCACTCTCGAAATATTCTGACTAAAAGAAGGAGCATCATTAAAAGTAGTAAATCTGGGTTTTTACACACTTCTAGAGACAAATTTTTTGAAGCATTTTACAGGTATATGTAATTTTATAAGGACTAGCTCGTTTCGACGTATTTTCCAAATGTACCCTTAATTAAAGTGTTTTTGGAACAAAAATTACGCTCAAGATCGCAAAATATTTTATCTTTAAAAGTTGGTTTAATCTGAAAGCACAGCTTTTGCTCAAGTATCAAATTATTCGTAATTTTGTATAGTATACAATACATACTTAAAAAGTTCTTAAACTTAAATGCTTCAAAAACTATATGCGATAAACCGAAAATTTTGAAAATTGTGAAATGTGGAATTACAGACTTTGAGTTACTTGCCATTTCGTTATTTTTTAATGCACACTTTTCTTACCTACTATATATGAAGTGTACACATAAGTACTAATTGCACATAAAATTTCAAAGCAGTATATGGTGTGCTTCAAAAGTTATGACATAATTAATTTTTCACCTCTTAAAAATTACATAAAAAATTCACTTGTTTTCATTATTATTTTTTATTTAAATACCTATAATTCAAAAGTTATGCAGCAAATTGACCCAAATTTTTTTTGAGGCTTCAAGTATACGTCAATGAATTATATCCAAAAGCAACCAGCTTGATATAGTTTCCAACAATGAAAATAAAGCTAAACAACACCAAGGTTACCTGTTTTTTAGATTTGCCCATATATGTATGAGGAAACACACGGGCTTCGTTTATATACTGATGGACATATGTATGCACATATCGCACACCGTCTTCAAAAGAGTCACAACTCAAAATTTGGGATTTTTGAAATTATGCGCTAAAAATGTACACAGATCTTTTTTTTACCTTTCAGCAAAAGCTGGAGCAAATTTTTGTTATAATTTGTTAAAAAAAAAACTAAAGGTAAAGTCGCCTTTGCCCACATGATTAGCATGTGCTACGAAATAGTTATTCGCGTTTTCTGACGAACGTATTATTTTGAGTTGTGACTCTTTTGAAGACGGTGTGCGATATGTACTTACTCAGTAGAACTTGGGAGCATCGTACGATTTCTCGGTGAGTACTCCCTTGGGAGCATACGAATACTCCCCATTGCTCCCTATGCTTTGTGTATAAGCATGTAATTTCGTATACTCCCTTTAACATTGTATGTCCTAGGAGGGGG